AGGAATTTGGAATTTGTGTTCCTACTATACAGAATATGTATCCCTTTAAAGGCTATAAAGTCCAATTGAGAGTGATTCAGTTAACATCTATACTCCATGTCACACTCGCTCCACTGAGATGTAGACACTGGTAATCTTCTAAGCACGGTCTCAGCTAAGGTACTCAGCCACATCTTACACACGTGAGTCTCACACGTGCCTCAGCGCACCCATTACCACAGGCCAGCTAGGGATATAATCAGTGCCTACTTATTCATAAGGTCCAGAACACTCAAGCTATTGTCAGCAAATTTTTTAAAAAAAACAGTTTATTGGAAGGATATCAGGATATCTCTTGGAACTTGGAGGCAGAAAGAAGAACTAGGCCTTGCACTAGCACCAGGCCTCTGAAGCCAGAACCAGTAACTCAAGTATCAAGTCTCCACTTACCCTTCCCTAAGATTCTCAGGCTCTCCCACTGCTTGTTTCTGCTCTTCTGCTCTGTGTCTCTCTGAAATCCAGTTTCTTCTTCTGTGTGTGCCTGGCCCCTGCCACTCAAGACTAACATGCTATTTCTCCGCTCAAAGCTCAGGAGGGATGGTTATAGGCTCTGGAGTACATTTCTAATTCAAGAATTTTTTTAAAGAAAATCTTTTTAAAGAGGCACTTCATTTTCCATTAAAAGCTGTTTCCTGCTTTTAACATTTTAAACCAAAGAAAAATGGAAAGAATAGTACAATGAACACTGTGTAACCTTTAGTTAGATTACCAATTTTTAGCCCTCTATGATTTCTACTTTCTCTCTCTCTCTCTCTCTCTCTCTCTCTCTGTATAATGTATACAGACAGATACACTTTTTCCCTGAACCATTTGAAAATAAATTGCAGAATCACGAGATGTTGTTGCCAATTTCTTCTTCTGGTAACTCCTAAAAGCAAAAATAATCCAGGAGAGAAAATCGGATTGATTCAATCACCACCTTGGCTCTCCCTCAGTTGGGTGTCTAGGCCTGGTCCAGTCAGCTGTGGTGGAGGGGTCAGAAGGCACAATCCCAGCTCTGGGTTCATCTCTCTGAGCAGGATCAGTTCTCAGAGAAGGACATGGCTGGGCAGATATTTACAGTGATTCGACTGCATCCTGATTATTTTTTATCTTTTTCAGATTAAGGTTTCAGATAAAATATGCTGTGTCATGAATCCTTGAGGTTGTCTATAAATAACTGAAACTGCAAAATCAAAATCTACAAATCCTGAACATCTACAACATTTTCAAACAGCCCAAATCTATTCCTGCTAAATGACTTTACAACTTTCTACTGCTGATCACTTCCAGTAATGGAACTGTGATCTTGGAAAGTTCAGGAATAAAATAATCATACAGAAGATTTTCAGTACCTATGAATAAATAAAATCGCTAAATAGCTAAGAGTAATTGAGTGTTACCTCCATGCTAGGCTCTGTGCTAAGTATTTTATATACATTATTCCATTCCATCCTCACAAAAACCCTGTGCAATATTATTCTTGACATTTTATAGAAGAAGTAACTAAGGAGCAAAGAGCTTAGGTAACCAACCAGCTAGTAAGTGGCAGGTCTCTACTACTCCTTAAGCTATATTGTTAACCACCACCCTGTATCCAAAAGCATAACCATGCCCTGAGTGCTTAAGTGAGCTATTCATCTTCTCCTGCCCCTCTAGGGAAAGAAACTTGAGCCCATTTTTAGTAACAAAGAATGAACATGGCTCCAATGCTATAACCAGATAGTCTGGAACAACGCTTATCACTTTGACTACAGGAAGCTCCCTAGGGAACAATCAACACAGAATGAGTATTCCTCTGCGGGTTAGCACTGTCTCTGAACAGTCCCCAAATGCTCTAAGTTCAACTAAAAGGCCACATGCCAGATAAAGAAAGGTTATCCTTTCCTGAAGGTGATTGTGCTGAAATGAAACCATCCTTTTCAATTACATTCCTGCCTCAGCCAACATGTCAGTGGGAGTTTCCATAAGTGCTTGGTCAGAAGGCAGGCAGCGAGCTCCCACATGCCAACAGGACACTGTGAGGGTCCTCTCACCACAATATCGTGGGCTAAGCAGGGTCCACCAAATGCACTTTTAATTACCCTCATCCTCACGGGGTCACAAAACATTAACTCTTGAGATACATTTAATCCACAAATTGATAAATACACCATACTCCTGCCTCAGAACCTGAGTTAGAGGTCAGGGTCAAATATTGGCTCTTTATGAGCCCATCAGGATGCATTAGCCCAGTTTGAGTTCAGTTTGGAGTTTGGGGGCTCAAGTCTTCAAGGGGTATTTTCAACTATATAGCCTCTGCTGGCAGCCTCATCAAAAGGTTGCATGTGACAAGGATAACAGAGTTATATGGGGGGAGGGGAACATCACTCTCTTTCCTGACCTACACCTCATAGGAGAGGAAGTAGTCCAAACATATTCAGCTTTTACCAGTAACTCCTTATGATTCAACAACATAGATAATTTTTAAAGCTTTTTTTAAGCTTACTTAAAAAAAGTTTTCCACTTTTGTTTTCTACTTTGAGAGTGTTCCAAAACTTCCTTTTGCAGTATAAGTTACCCCTTCCTGTAACTGACCTAAACTACACTCACATTTCCTTCGATGCCCTCTAGTAGAACTATTCTCATTTTAGTTGTGGCATCCTTTTGAAAAGAGAATATTTACCTCTATGTTACTAGGCTGGTTCAGGCTGCTTGGAAAAGTCATGCCCATATTAGGAAAGAAAACGTGTTCAGTGCAAGGACACATGAGAATGTAAGCCACTTGAATCCATATGAGAATCACTTGAACCCAGGAGGGGGAGTTTGCAGTGAGCCAAGATCACAGGGAGGTGATCACCTCTGTCCTAACCATAGACTTCCAAGATTGAGGAGCACAAGCACACTTCACAGAGACCTAGAAGAATAGCTTCACATTGTCCTCACTCAGTCTGAGTTCTAGTCACCCACTTTCATTTTCTCCATTGGGTATTTATTCTTCCAAAGACAATGGACTGAATCAGCTTGTCACCATCCCACTATGGACTCCCTTGTTGGTCAGTCTCTGGGACTCTTGGTCTCAATCATGTCCAATTTATACCTATTAGATTTTGACTCAAGGGAAAATCCCTTGTTCCATCATTTATGGCCAGGATAGCAAGATAAGCACATAGTATATGAGAACCATTCAGAAGAGAGCTGGGGGCATGACAGAAATTTCAGCCTGCATAGCCTGTCTTTTAATTTATATGTAGTAAGTTCTGTTTTATAACTTCAGAGTTTTCTCGGTGCAGGAAATGCAATGGCTGCTGGTAAATTGCAGAGATTAAAGAAAATTGAAAAGTTTCACTATCACCATGTGCAGAAAAGAGTTAACATGGCAGGGCTGAGACTACTGTGCTTTGAAAGTGCTGATTGCAAGGCTTGTCCATGGCTGGCATCAGGAAACTTGGATTTAAGGAGAATCCCCACCACTCTCAGAACTGCTTGTGCGGGAGTATGGTTTATGCTGAACACTTGCTTTCCTTCAAGGAGTCTGAAATTCTGGCACATGATAAAAAGAAGGTGCCTACGTGACCAGCCTCACAAAAAGCCTTGGGCAAAGGCTCGCTTATGAGCTTCCCTGGAAAACAACACTTGACACGTGGTGTACCAATTTGTTGCTGGAGAAATTCAGTGCATCTTGTGCGACTTCACTGGGAGAGGACTCTTGAAGTATGCTCCCAGTTTCTGCTGGTCTTTGCTCTATATGCCTTTTCCCCTTGCTGATTTTACTTTATATCTTTTCACTATAATAAATCATAGCTATGAGCACAACTATATGCTGAGTCCTGTGAATCCCCCTAGTGAACCATTGAAACTGGGGGTGGTCTTGGGGACCTGAACACAGCCAATCAGATCCACAGATTCTCATTTGTAACAGAGTAGCCTATCTCCTCACATTTTAAAAAATGAATTACAAGTTCTCCCCTGCAGAGACAGTACATTGCCCCTCTCTGCCTTCAATTATAGCTATACATTCGTTACAGCTATTTAAGTCGGGAACTTGAAAGAGTCAGCTTTCTTTGGAAGTAGTCATAAAAGACTAAAAATTTAATGAGGGCAAAGAGAAGACATCAAGGGGGCAGAGCCAGCTGGAGGAGGCTGCCATCTGATAGACTTGCTCTAAGCAGTATTCATCTGGTTAGTGGCAGCGCTGCTATTTACCACGAAAAGCTGGTTAAAATGAGCATTTTCTGCCACACTCACACATTCTTAATGAGCCAAATTCTTCCACGGCATGACCTTTTTGTGCAGGTCAGCTCCTTTGAGCAGCTGCATTTATTCTCTTAAATTTTTAGGTTTTGCTGGCACATTAAAAATAATACTTAAGGGTCTGAAAGAAGCCCTGCCATTGCTCAGAAGTGCCTGATTTACTCCTGGGGAGTAGCCCAGACCCTGAGAGAATTTCAGTCCGTGAGGTTTTATGATAAATGTCAGTGATTATGCTGGTAATAGAATGGCCCACCAAAACTAGGCAAGGGAAGGCACTTTTTTTTTCTGGGGGAGGGGGAAGCATGAACTGCTTCATGTAAAGCTTATGGCAATGCTTTAGCATCCTGCTTCTCCTCCCAAGGGTGGGAGTGGGAGAGAAGAGAGAAAGAAGGTGTAGGAAGGAAACAGACTACAAGGAAGGAAAGAGAAGGAAAAGAAGTGGTTAGAGAATGTGACAAAGGCTCGCTTCAGCTTCCAGCCTCTAGCCATGAAAATCGCCATCTCCAGGGGTCCTCTGAGTCGTGCTCAACCCCACCCATAACCTGATGCCACCGTCTATACTTCATGGTCCCCCTGAAGCTACCCCCTCGTCTGGCCCACCAAGTTTACTCTGACTGGAGCTTACAGGAGGATGGGCCCATCGTTTTGATCAAACAAGCAGCTTTTCCAATCTCCTCATAAATTCTAAAAGCAGTTATTTACTCCCGTCTGGAATATCCAATGCCCTGTGCTCAGAACAAGTCTGTGGTTCTTCTGTCCACAATCCTACATATCTTCATGATGTCCCAATCTGGGAAAGAGCCAAGAACCTGGACAGTGGTTATTTTAGTCTGCCCAGGGTCTCTTCTTTAGAGAAACCTCTTCCTCCACACCATATTGTTTTTGAAGCTGTCAGTAAGAATGTGCAGCCTGCCATGGGGATGGTGTCATGACCCAAACACAGCCAGCCACAGGACTGTCCATTTGACAATGTGCTTCATCCAAGGGGTGGGCACATGACATAGGCATGGCCAACCAGAACCTTCCCCTGGGTTGGATCTGTGAACCAGGAGGATAGGTTCTCTTCAGGGTAGGCTGCCAAGGCTGAGAGGATGGCTTTTAGGGCTTGCACCAGCTATCTTATCGGCCACATGGAAAAACTAAAATAGCAGAATAAGCTGAGAGTCTGGGGTGTGTGTGTGTGTGTGTGTGTGTGTGTGTGTGTGAAAGAGAGAGAGAGAGAGATAGAGAGAGAGAGAGCGAGAGGGTGAGAGAGAATCTTATAGCACTGAGTTCTGCATTAGTTTGTTAGCGCTGCCACAACCCTGGTAATTTAAACAACAGAAATTCATTTTCTCACGGTTCTGGAGCCCAGAAGCCTGAAATCAAGGTGTCATCAGGGCAGCACTCCCTCAGGATGAACTGGCCAGCACTGCAGCTAGTTTACCACCCTGACAGCATAGACTGGAGCTTCCAGGAGCCACACTGTGGAATCCAAGGATGAAATAAGACTACTGAAGGTAGGGCAAGAGAAGGCAAGAAATGGGACCACTGGTGATCTTATTTGGGCTCCTGGGTGAAGGCTTATCTAAATCCAGTCCTATCTATGGACTTCACAGCTATAGGGATCAATAAATTCCATTTAATTGCATAAACCATATTTAGGTTGGCTTCTCTGTCACCTGACCAAAAATATCCCTCGCAAATGTAAACTGTCAAACCTCTCATGCAGTTTGTTTTGTGATTTTTACTTGTTTTTGTCTTTTGCTTTATTTATTGTAAACCATATGCCATGGCAGTTTTATCTTCAGTACCTGTAAGATCTCTCCGAATTATTTTCATAGTAGTGCACCTTAATTATATGCTTACTGTGTACCAGGCACTAAATACTTTACATATTGATGTATTTAATCTGCACAATAACTCTATGAAATCCGTACAATTAGGCAACTGAGATGCAAAGATATTAAGTAACTTGCCCAAGGTTATATAATAAGTAGTAAAGCCAAGATTTACTACCAAGGCAATTTTGTGCCAAGGCAGTCTGTCTCATAAACCCTTGTTTTTAATTACTACAGTACACCACAAAGATTGCACTAGTCACATGCTAACATTGACATTGTCCAACTGTCTAATTTTTGCAAGTATGATGGGTGTAAAGTGACATTTATAATTTACTATGTAACTTTGGACAAACTACTTAAACTCTGTGTCTGTTTCTTCATCTGTAAATTAGAAGTAATAAAGTAATACTGATTTCAAAGGGTTGTTGTGCAATTTAAATAACAGTAGTGATACTGAGTATCTTTTCTATATTTATTGTCCACTTGGGGTTCCCCTGTTGGGAAATGCCTGTTCATACCTATTCCCCTCTGCTTTTTTTAATTGAGTTTCCTTTTTCTTCTTGATTTGTAGGATGTGTGTGTGTGTGTGTGTGTGTGTGTGTGTGTGTGTGTTTGTGTGTGTGTATGAGTTACATGTCAGTTGTAAATATTTATATCTCCTTCTATCATTTTGTCTATGGTGCCCTTGATTGAATAGGAATCTTTCATTTCATTTTGTGTAGGGCTGTTGGCCCCACAGGGTCGTGGGGTGTCCCTTATGCTGTGCTGATGCGCAGGATCCAAGAAGTAAAGAGACAGGACACTAAAGAACTGGTGAAGAGCATCTGGACTTGGGGGCCACACCACCTATGAGCAGAGACAGGCGAGAGCCCAAACACACAGAAGCATCTGTATTTCTTAGGTACAGACAGGGAGAAGGGTCGTTAAGTGAGGTCATCATCTATAGGCTTAGTGACAGGGCGTACATAATTATGTGAGTCACAAGTGAGGGGGCCACCCCATTATGTCACCTGGGCAGAGAGGTGGGCTGTGCGCAGTAGGGAGCTGTACCATGTGCAGTAGTAGAGGGTTGTGTACAGAAAAGGGGTCCACCCCCATCAGGTCACTGAGGCAAGGAGCTGGGCTGTGTGCAACAGGTGTTGTGTGCAACACTTCTTATCTGGGGGCTGGAGACTTCAAAGAATTTCTAATAGAAGGATATTGTAAGCTAATGCAGTGGGAGCCGACATACTTGTGCTCTTCTCTTAAGATATTTATGGGAGGATGATTTGAGCCAGCACAGAAGTGAGAAAAGACTGACAGGGTGTACAGCCTCCATGACTGGTCACACCAGAGGGGTTCTTCTCTCTTGGTTATCTGCAGGATCTGAAGCCTGAGGCCTACTTTCCACAAGAACTAGATGCAAGGTACTACAACTCCTTTATCAGGAGGAGAGGCTCTTGCTCCAAGCCTGCCATACAGCCAGTGCCCTTTTAGGCAGGGATGTGACCGCCTGGGTCTTTGGTTCTTGTCCTGGTCTGGCTGTTCTGTGACTGCTTCTGTTCTGTGACTGCTCTAGGCATTCCTCCTACTACAAACTGCTATATGGTTATATGGAAGGATTATATAAATCAGCACTAAATGTGTCAGTACAGCTCCAACTATAATACCTATATAATTATATAGAAAGATTATATGGAACTAAGTATGATTATATATATAAGCTAAATATAGTAAGCATTGAGTTATGCTTTAGGCACTAACGGTGCCTGGGGTCTGCCAGTTCTTTTTCCTTGGTGCCAGTGGGGGGTGTTACTCACAATTTTGATATACTCAAATCCATTAATTGTGCTTCAAATGTAGAGAGAATAAAGATATGAAGAACATTGTTTATGCTTTAAGCAACTTAACATCTAGCTGGAGAATCAAGAACAACTATGAGAACAAATGTTAAACGTTGTATAGCAGTCTGCAATATAATGCCAAGTTTTAAAGACTATGTAGCCAACCGTATAAACTTGGGAAAGTATCTGAATCTTCCTGAGCTTCAGTTCTATTTGGAAAATGGAAGCAATTTAAAAAGACCATTCCATTTACCATAGTATTTATTTACTTATTTATTTATTGAGATGGAGTTTCGCTCTGCTGCTCAGGCTGGAGTACAGTGGCACGATCTTGGCTCACTGCAACCTCTGCCTCCGAGGTTCAAGCAATTCTCATGCCTCAGCCTCCCAAGTAGCTGACACTACAAGCACCCACCACTATGCCTGGCTAATGTTCATAGTTTCAGTAGAGACAGGGTTTCATCATGTTGGCCTCGCAAAGTGCTGGGATTACAAGGCATGAGTCACTATGCCTGGCTTCCTTTCCATTTATTGTGATAAATAAAATAAGAGATGTTGAATGGCTCTCACAGTACCTGGTGCATAGTACCAACTACAATTTAGATGCAAAACAGATCAATGAGATAATAATGGCTATCATGTACAGAGGTCTACTACCTGCCAGGCATTTTTTATATGTATCTGCTTAAATTTCACAACTCCCTGCAAGGTATTATCACTGCCATTTGTCAGATGCAGAAACCTAGGTTCAGAGGACTTACATTATTATTTGATGAAAGTCAGGCTACACAGCTAGTAAATGGCAGTGATAGGATGGAAAGCCAGATTGGTTTGACCTCAAACCTCCTGTGCCTTCTACTATGTCAAGCTGTTGTCAGAAAAGATTTTAAGGAAGCAATGAAACTTGACTTGGGTCCTGAAAACAAAACAAATAAACAAACCCAAGCATTTCAATAGACAGGAGGAAGGGAGGAAAGATCATGCCAGATTCTGAGGGAGTCCAGTGCATCTGCAAGGGATGCAATGTATTGTGAGTTACCCGAGGGCAGAAGCAAAACTTTGTCCATCATAGTTCCCTTCAATCTTAGCACAGTGACCAGGACAGAGTATCTGGTGGTGGACCATCTATTCCCTAATCTTATTACCATAACAGGGAGCAGGAGTAAGTTGTCTGACTGGTGAGTCTTTAAGAACTGGCCATATGTCACTTTACTCCCTCAAGTTTGGGGAGCAGGCATATCCCAGGAGGCACATGATTTCTGCTTTTTCCATGCAGCCAGTTTAGTTTTTACACAGGCAGGTTTTCCAGCTCTGCTTGTGACTGAGTGGATATGTTCAATTCTTGGCCCACTATCCCTGCAGATCTAAAGTCATGGCTGCCATTCCAGCCTTTAGCAGAGACAAAGCTGACATTTTGCTCCCCATAAGTCTGACTCCTGCTGCTATCTCAATGGATTCTGACCATGGGTATTATCTTGAAGCCCCCTAAAACTACAACAGTGGGCACTCAACAAACCTTGACAGCAGAGTGAATATGACAAGTTCAGAGGACAATGAGAAGACCCGCCTGCTAAGAGCAGAAGAAGTATGCTGATGTAGTTGAAGAGAAGTTAGGTGGACAGGATGGGACCAGTAATGGTTGGCTTATTAGAAAAGGCAGTCTGGATTTGATGTGGGAAGAAGAGCGCCGAAACTTTCTGAGTAGAGGAAGAATGTGAACACGAGGAAGACAATGTCTAAAATAAGCTAGTGAAGGAATATGACGATGGATTGCAGTGGAGACTACAGGGGAGAGCCTGGAGCCAGAGGACAACGAAAGGAGGTTTTCAGAATTTTCAAGTGAGGAAGCATGATGGTCTGGCCTAGGAAAGTGAACATGTGAACGGAGGCGAGGGGATGCATATGAAATCTCAGTGGGTAAACTGCCAGGCTATGGGGACAAGCCAGGTCTGGGAAAAGGAGATAGGTTTGAAGGCAACCACCCTGAAAGAGGTAGATGAGCAGGCCCTGAAGCTGGGGGGAGTGAGGCTTTGCCTTTGGCATGTGAAATCTGAGGTGCCAAGTGGCTCTGTTCTCCGCACCAGTTATGGCAGGAAAGACGCCTTAATTAGGGGCATATTAGGGAGTTAACCCTGTCAAAGTGGTAGCACGCTTTCGAAGGCCGCTGGGAAGAAGCTGGTGAAGACCACAAGCCTGAACATAGAGGCTACTTGGGATGACAGGGAGGAGGGACACAGGTGATGGGTGAGTTGTCAGAGGAGAGACGGGGGACACCGCTTCCGACCCGAGTGAAGGAGGAGATGAGGCTGGTGGCAAACGCTGGACTGAGGATCGCCCCAGAAGAGGAAGGTGGCTGCCACCTCTCCCAGGACATGCACCGTAGTGCCCACAGCAGCCTTCCCCACCCCGGCCGGTCTTCCCGCCCCTGCGCCCACTTCCCGGTGCCCGGCTGCTGTGACACCCTCAATCCCGGGCTGCCGGGTCTCCTCTGCATCCCTGGGCCTGCCAGTTTAGCCATGGGGGTGGGGGCGACTCCGCTTCCCAGGCCGCGGGACGTCTTTCCCTCCAGGTTCCAGTCCCGGCCTGGCCCGCCCCTGCCCCGGCCCCCCACGGCACCGCCCACCTGGCCACCGGCGCAGCCCGCCCGGGCCGCCGCCAGCCAGCAGTCCCTCCCCGGGTGGGGTTCCCCTCCCCCCCTCCCCCCCTCCGCCTTTGTGGCAGGGACCCCTGGGACGCTCCCCCTGCCTCCGCTCCACTTTCAGGGGGCCGAAGGGGCGCCGGGCGGTGCGGAGAGAGGGGTTCGGCGGCGCCAGGACTCCCGCGGGCTCCCCGGAGCAGGGGGCGGGAGTAGGGGGAGCGGGAGCCGCTGGGGCCGCCGCAGCAGAAGGGGGAGGAGAATGGGGAGGAGCTGGGGGGCAGGCAGGCGGGGAAGCAGAGGTCTTAATGGGCGGCCAGCCCAGGTCGGACATCCTCTGAGGCTGGCGTTCGGCGGCGCTCCCACCTCCGCTTAGAGCTCGCCGTCGTCCTGCTTCGCACCCTCCGGAGACCGGGACCGGACCAAGGTGAGCGCAGGGCGCGCGGCGCGGAGGCTGGACTCTGCTGGCGGCTGGGGGTGCTCGGGCGGAGGGACCCGAGCAAGTTTCCCGGGTCAGCGCGGGGCCGGAGCCTTCAGTCTCGCTCTCTTCTCTCTTCCGCAGATGTGGAAACGCTGGCTCGCGCTCGCGCTGGTGGCGGTAGCCTGGGTCCGCGCCGAGGTAGGCGAGGGGCCGAGGAGTCCGAACTCGGGCCCCGGGGCCTCTCCGGTCTGCGTGCCTGGGGATGCTTTCCCGGGGCGGCTTGGGGAGTTTCCGTCCTGGGGTGGGCTGGGGTGGAGCTGGGGGAGCGCTGCGAAAAGAAATGCTACTCAACGAAACTTAAATCTCTCGAAAGCAGGAAAAGTAGTTCGGGCCGTAAGCGGGAGCCCCGCCGCGGCTAACATGGAGGGAGAGCCGGGAGGAGGAGAGGGGCGGGCTGGGCCGGCCGGGACGAGGCGGCGACCCGAGCAAAAGCGAGTTCAAAAAGGCGCCTCCACTCCTTCCTTCACTTCAGAGGAGACTGAGAATAGTTGGGAACTTTTCCCTCCCGAGTCTGTCTCCTGGGGGCGGAGGGAGAGGAATCTCGGGATTCTTCTTGTGGGACAAAATTCATTTTCTGTTTTCTCTTTTTCATGATTTCCTGAAATGTATTTTCTTCTTTGTAAAGTGTTCTCGGGTTTTGTGTTATCATCTGGGCCATGTAATGGCCTTTCCCAAAATGTAATGTTGCACAAGAGAAGATCCGTTGCTCTGCTCTTTGGGGACTCGAATTTCCACTTAAAGCATTTCAGCGCTTGTTTTTTTGTATTAATTTTTTCAACTCCAGCGACCTTTCCGCGACACTACAGACAAACCAACAAACTCTTTGCTCAGAAGCCCCTTCATTAACTCGAAGGTTTATGGACAGAAAATAAACAATTCTAAATTCCCCGGGCTCCAGTCTCCGGAAGAGTGAGGTCAGAAACTAAACATTTGATAATTATGGCAGGAAATATGGAAGGAATTAAAAAGCATGAGGGAGAAGAAATGGAATGCGCATTACAAAAGAAATAGCTCCCTGGTGGGTGGTTTATGCTTCCCCCTTGAATTTTTTCCTTCATTTTACAGTTTAACCACACCCTTAGCATCGCAGATTGACTCTGCCCAAAAAAATCATAAATGCATACAAGGTCTTCACAATTTAAAAAAAAAATGCATTGTACTGAATTCTCATTTAATTCACTACTACATTGTTAAGGTGGAAACTCAACTGTTTTTATTCCCAATGAAATAAAAGTAGCTAATATTTATTAGATATCTGCTGTGTTATAATAAAATTCCATTTTAATGACATAAATTGAGTCAGGGAAGGTTACCCAATGCCCTCAGCTATTAAATCCTGGGGGTGGGATTTGAACCCAAGCAGCTTGGCTCCAGACCCAAGGATCTTGACCACTAGCCCACACCACTTCCAAGCACAATGGTTTAACATTCACCAAATACGTTTTTGTATACCAGGTATTGGGCTGTGTACATTACCTGCAGTTACTTCTTTTAAAGCTCCCAAACACTGTAATGTAGGTTGTATTCTCCCCGTTTTACAGAGGAGGAAACAGGTTTAAGGTTAGGTAACTTGCCCAGGGTCATACAACTAGTTAGCTTTGAAGCAGGATCGGAACTCACCTCTTTCTACCTTTGGAGCCCATCTTGAACTCCAGGTCTGCTTCTCATCCATTTGGTTTTCCAGGGTTTGCGTTTGAGGAAGTATCCCCCTTCACTGGCTGGTTAAGAAACATTCCTCCATCCCCTGCTGTGACCCTCAAAAGGCAGCTGCAGACCAGTGATGGATGAGGTGAATCCCTGGTTGGTTTTCCAGCAGGCTTAAGAATTGCCAGCCAGTGTGTGAAATCACTCAGTGAACTGGAATGCAAATATGAGGTGTGAGGAGGCTGTTGGTTCACTCACCAGGCTGTGTGGCCCAAGGTCTGGGATCTATTCTAGGCCGCCTGCACAACACACCCCTCTCCCAAACCCCTTCCTCACAGGGAAAACTTAGCCCTGGTAGGAAGCTTCCCCAGCAGCAATTTCCTGCTGGAGGTAGAAGAGCATCCAGTGCTCTCACAGAATTCCCAGGCAAAATCTACAGGGAAGAAGGGAAAATAGAGAAGTACTGAGGCATGAAAACAGAGTGCCTTGGTGGAGTAAGGAGGCTGTGAACTCATAGTGTGTGGAAATGGTTACAATGAAAAGAGTGAGGGGTACCTATGAGCTAGGTTAGTTTTTAAAAATGGTTACAATGAAAAGTGAGGGGTAGGTATGAGCTAGGTTAGTTTTTAAAAATGGTTGCAATGAAGAGTGAGGGGTAGGTATGAGCTAGGTTATGTTTCATGGCTCCTGGTTATTAAGGATTATTATCTTTTAATTATTCCAACCTCTTCATGCCTGGCCTAGTAACACTTGGCAAGTTTTTAATCCATTTAATAATAATATACCTTTAACTACTGATGAAAAAGTAAATTAACCCTCTCCCTGTGGGAATTGTAATTTGGATTTTTTTAAAAGCATTTTATCTTAGGTTAATGGTGCTTGTCGTTTAAATTTTTTTCCTTGTTAACTCTAAGGACAGTCTGTAAAAATGGTCACATCCTATTATTTACAGTCATTATTGACATGAATCTATTTTAGTAAACTTTAAATCAGCTAAAATTGTACAAATATTGTTGAACTTTTTACAAATGAAATTTAGAAAGTAAATTGCAGCTTCTTGGTGCTTTTTGCTTTTCTGCAACATAAATATTTAATTCAGCATATTTTTTTTTTAATTAAGCACTTTACAAATCATGTTGCTATTTGAAGAAACCAAAGCCTCTATAGTAAACTTCCAGAATCAGTGGTGCTCACCACTTGGGAAAAGGTGGTTGTTATCAGTATTAATGCCAGTCTATGTAAATCCCATTTGGTTACATTCACAAAAATAATAACAAAATTCATTAAGGAGCCTGGGCTTAGTGGCTTATGCCTGTAATCCCAGCACTTTGGGAGGCCAAGACGGGAAGACTGCTTGAGCCCATGAATTTGAGACCAGCTTGGGCAACATGGTGACACCAAATCTTAAAAAAAAAAAAAAAAAAGAAAATTAGCTGGGCATGGTAGCACATGCCTCTGTCCCCAGCTACTCAGGGGAATGAAGCAGGAAAATCACTTGAGCCAAGGAGGTTGAGGCTGCAATGAGCTATGATGGTGCCACTGCACTCCAGCCTGAGCAACAGAGCAAGACCTTGTATTTATAGAAACAAACTCATTAAGGAAAGTGTCATATTGTTTTGAATGTGTTCCATGGTCTCCTGCTTCCTTGGCACCTCAGGGTTGCTTTTTGATGGCTTCCTCTCTTTCTTACCTGCTCACTCTCTTACTACTATGTCTGTAGCATATACCTTCACCCAGCCTCCCTCCAGATTCTGCCCCATCTACCTGAGCACACACATCCATGCATGCACTCTGTAGTCTGCTTGAAAGAGGGTGCTGGGTGTAGCATATGTCTCTAGATATGTGTAGATTAACATGTGGATGGACTAGGCAAAGAGGGCAGCAGCAGAGGTAGTGCTTCCACTAACAATTACACAGATACCCCTTTTCTAGATTATCTGGGGAAGGGGCTGTGTGAGCCTGCTTATGCACCTTCTTCCATCCCCCTCCCATAGGGAATTGCTGTAGTTCATTGAGAAGTGTTGATGGTAGATGCATGGCATGCAGCCTGGGAAAATGTTGAGAACACAGGTGTTGGTGTGTGTGCTCTTGAAGCTGAGTCAGTAAATATGTATCCCTCTAACATGGCAAGCTGGAAACCCTGTGGCCCAACTGCCTGCTTTAGGAAGACAGCCCTGGCAAATACCTAAGCATACCTCAAATCTCCCTTAGTGGATGTTTCTGCTGTCACGATGATTCCCAGCATTCCAGGTCTAGAAATTCATTATGATAAGTCACATGTACAGTTTACTGATTTGTAGTTCAGCATACTCATTCCACTAAAGGATCCATACTTAACCCATGAACTTTGAGAGCATTACCTAAGAGAAAATAACAATTCTATAAACAGATGTATGTCACTTAGCTCTAGACATGCAATCCTAGAAAATTTTGAGGGCTTTGTTCCTCTGAGGCAACACTTCTTAACCTCATTTGTACTCTATTAACAGCATATAGTTAACCACTGGAGGTTTTGTTTGGGAGCTCCTCTTTATTCTTTAGAATTGTTCTCATGGTAGACTCAAGTAAGCCTTGCATCTAACCCATATCTCTGACTGCATCTTCTTGGAGATGCAGCTTGTATATTAACCAAGCTAAAGAGATTGCTAAAATCATCTCTTGATTGTTTATCCTTTGGCAAATAAGCTACTTGATGCAATTCTAAAGACCATTGCTGGAAATTGGGGTGTGAAAACATAGCAGGGACTCTGCCAACTAGCCAGACCAGAAGGGCAAGCCCCCAGCATCTGAGGTTCTGCCATTGCAAATGGCTTTGGAAAGTGGACACATTACAGTTCCCTTGGAAGTCTCTGGATTGGGTGATGGAAAGCAGGATTCCATCCCCAGGCTCACAGGAGCAAGTTGGAGAGGAACCGTGAGGTGAAGATCCACTTGTGGACTGAGGTGGATGTAATGACCCCAGAGGAAATGCCCCAAAGATGAAAAGAAAGTCTTCAAAGTCAGTGAGGCAGAGCAATACATGCTGCCACAAGAACAGGAAGTAAAGAATGAACTGTAAATACCAGTGATCACATATGAGAATTGAAAATGTCATGGATTCTTTGTCTTAGTCCTTCAAATAACTGGACATCCCACAGAATGTTTCTAACAGACATAAATTGTATTAGCTTAATGATAGCAGTTAGTAGGGGGGAAAAGTATAGTTAGGTTCATTTTGTAAGCCAGATGATTAATGTCCTCAGAGGGCATTAATTTTTGTCTAAGATGCTCTATTCTGACTCCTGCAATTTTGGCAAGGGGCACTTTCTCAGAGTGTGCCATGAATGGCCTGGCTTTCCTTTCACTGTGCCCATCAAGTCATGTTCCCTGCTGCAGTGGAGCACACCTGGCACTCAGGTCAGAGTCACAGTGAAGCACAAGGCATGGTCTCTGCCCTCATGTTATTTACATCTAGTGGTGGGCCCGGGTGCTTTAAATTGTGGCAGGTACAGTTT